GGCTGTCTTGCGGTCGGCAGAACCACGAGACCTTTGCAAAACCTCCCCCCCCCCCTCCCCCATCCCTTATTCCCCAACAACTATCCCTCTCCTTCCCTTATTCGCTCATCTGCAATGCGGGTTGGTTGGAGTACGATAGCTACATTGTCCAGTTAAAGACCGAAGCATCACGCCAATGAAAGCGTACGGTGAATTGTGCTACTAGTGCACGCTAAAATCCTGTGTTCCATTTTAATTCACAGTTTTCTTAATTCTGTGTGCGCTCTATGCCTACGCATTTTTTAACAGGCTAGTTTGTGGAAACCAGTGTGTAGAAACCCAGTAAGTTGTGAATAAAAATGTTCATAGGTTTTATTGTGTACGTGGCAAGTACTATACCGTAAATTACAGTGCAAGTCATTGCGGCTTACTCTGTGAATTTCGTCACTTACAGTGAGATGCACTGTAACTAATTGTCTTTTAGTAATATTCAGTGTAACCTTCAGGGAATACGCAATGTTTACTGTAATTAGGGGTAAAATTCAAGTGTTTAACATAGAAGCCAAAGTGCAAGTGCAAAAGTACTGATTTACACGACGGCAAACGAAAAACGAAGACGAAGGTTTTTCGTCGTTGACTGCTACTCTGTTACTTTGCTTTATAACGGCCCGGGATGTGTTTGGCAGTGCTTTCTAATGGTGGGGATTATGGTTGTCATTATTGATATTGTTGTCGATCTGCTGACAGTCGACGTCTGGATGATGATCAACCGCCACCGTCGCTCTGGTTGGATTCAGTTTTGAACGCCGCGCCGCGCCACGGGCGAGCCTGTCGCTGAATGGCAGGGGGCTGCATCTGAACATGCGCAAGAGAGGGAGAGACAGACTGAGATCTGGCAAAGGTGCTCAGACTTGACTCAAGCAAGCTCGGCACGGAGACAGCCGTGCGGAGCTCACCTAGCAGCAGCCCACTCGTGGCCCACGCGCACGCACACACTCACTCCCCCTTCCCCCTCGCTCTCTCTCTCTCTCGCTCACTCACTCGCTCGCACTCAGGGCGCGGTGCCTCTTTGCAAATGTTTGTTCATTTCGCACAGCCTCCCCTCCCGCCCGGAGGGAGGTCCCGGGAGGTCCCGCCCGCCGTGTGGGTGGGAGACATCACACGGAATTTTGAGAAATCCCCGCCCGCGTCATCCCATACCGGTCGTCCACTTTGGCGATATTCATCAATTCAGCCAAATCTATTTCCAACACCTGTGCGTATTGTGATATCACTAATCGAAATTTGATTTATGCAAAATATTGAGGAAAGCGACCACACGGTACCCAAAAAATACAAGGGTAACTACTTACTGACCTAACGGCGAAACGGGTCTCTTTCATTCCAAATGTGAAAGTCTATTATTTGTCCCAGAAAAATGTTTTTAAGTGTTTGCATACTTACTCCAATGAGCTGTCATAATGAAATGTTATAATTTTGTTCCATCAATAAGTGATGGGCACTGGTAAAAAAGGTGATAAATTTTGAACGGCAGAGTTGATGTCTAAGTTCAAATGTGCAAAGTTTAGCTTATCTTGGTGTCTAAATAGATTATATAGATTATACGTTGTTTGGTGTGCAATCTATACAGATTTTTTAGGGTATGTAATGACAATCTGTCGATATTTACGTATGCTTAATACGTAACTTAATTGTTCAAAGTTGACCATTGTTTAAGCCTCGGTTTTAGCAGTGTGCCTAACGTCTCTTATGCTTAGTAAATTGAGAACTAATTTGCCGGAGCGCTTCAGTGTCCATGTGATACCTGGATTTCCTTTAGTTTGTTGCAGTTTTGTATTACGATGGTACAAGTGACAAGTGCCAAAGTTTTGGATTGATCTTTAATGCCATTTCTGAGGAGTTTTAACAAACGAATGCCCAGCCTCGCTGTCAAGTGTGCGAGGAGTGCACGCACCACCTCACCTCCCGCTCCAGCCTGCCCCGAGGCGAGGTCTGTGCCCCGCCGAACACTTGCGACCAGACCAGGGTCATGCGGCAAGGCGTGCTCAATCGCCGAAAAAGATCGAGTGGTCGACCTGCTGCTGCTGCTGCTGCTGCTGCTGCTGCTGCTACTGCTGCTACTGCTGCTGCTGCTGCTGCTGCTGCTACTGCTGCTGCTGCTGCTGCTGCTGCTACTGCTGCTGCTGCTGCTGCTGCTACTGATCACTCCCTCGAGGAGTGGGGGTTTCGGGGGCTTTTGTCGTTGGCAGATTTTTGTTGTGTTGTGCTCGTGTAATTCGCTCCTTGCTTCAGCTTCACTCGGGTAATCAGACAGACAGGTGGACGGACGGACGGACGAACAGACGGACAGACGGACAGACGGACAGACGGACGGACACGGACGGGCGGGCAATCAGCGGGCAGAAAGCCCGCGTGCCTCCAGTTGTAGGCGGGGCACCTCCTGCTGTACAGGCTGTACTGTACTACCGCTCCCCCATCGACACACACACACACTCACACACACATAGACACACACACACTCAGCATAGCACAGCACAACACACGGTCAGGCCCTAGGCGCTGGAAGTACCGCCGAGGTACGTGTATGTACTTCCGGTGAGTGTGACCATCTGCAGCTATAGCTGCTTTGCCATGCCAATCACACCTGCGCAGACGCGCTCAGGACTGAGTCGACCGAGTCAAACACAGCCGGCAATAAAACTGATAATGCCGTTGATAAATAATTTTTCGCTGTGCTTTTATCGAGAGTCTTTTGTGACGAGGGCTGTGAGCACACTTCTGGGGATTTGCTTACTCACTGATTGGTGAAAATGGGCGTGTATTTTGTTATGAATGCAGGTAAATTTGAAGAACTCTAATCACTGTGAAAAATAGTCGTAGGTTTAAAGGAAGATTTTCCACTTGTGTCCTAAAATTACAATTGAAAATTTACAAACCCTATGTATCGACGTTTAATTGATCGACAAGCAAGAAATGGCCTGTCGCCCAACAAATGTTGTAGATTTACAAGGACATTTTTGCACAGTGTTAACGTTAGGTACCCCTCGGGTTTGTCGCCCGGAGACGGTAGGCCAAGGTCAAATCCGACAACGGCTTCGGGACTGGAAGGGACGTTCGTCTCGGCGCCCTGCTTTTTCATTTACTTTTCCAGCTCATCAGGGGCCCTCTTCAATATCCCCTTTCTGTCCATCACGTCATCAAGCCCGCCCCCCGTGACGAGGCTCTGGAAGAGCATGAATAAGATTTCGTTAGCTACTCAACCCCCTTGGGTCGGTTGGCATGTCGCCCCCCCCC